GGTATGTGTGAGATATGATCTGTCGGGAAAGTGACCAAACAAAAATAACGTACAAAACCAAAAGGAAAAACGGGAGTTAGTCCACTCGCACAAATTTACCAATAAATAAACACAGAAGTACTACTGGAGCAGACTAACTCAAACAAAAACAAAACTAGAAACTAAGCAAACATCAGGACAGCAGGCAAGAAAAAAAATACAAAATGACCTCACTAATAAATGGTTAATTCAAATCGTAAAAACACTTTAAAATACCTGGCGTCGTACTCCCACGCCCAGTCATTCACTACCACACAACTGACAGTTCTCCACAAGACCGTTCGACCCTGCCATACAAAATGGACTACACTTAAAAGTCAGTCACAACAATAAAACATTCATCAAGTTAAAATATTTACCAGAATTGGTCTCGATCACAAAATCCACAACAGGGCTCAGCAAACGTCCTGGCCACCCCACAGGAAACTGGCACTTCGCAGGCAAAACTACCAACTTCCTCTTTTATGGGCAAATGCCCTGGGGCAAGAGTGACACCGAGTGGTGTCACCCATTACATCCCACCCCATCAACAAGCATCAGCGACCCGACGATGTACTAAACATTTCAAAAACAATATAACAACATTCTCATATACTGGTCTGGACCGACTGAGGCAGTCTATGACGATTTGAATGCTGCCCTGCAGTTTTCCTTGTCGACCTCCGAGGCTCAAAAACTAAGGATGTGCCAGTTTCCTTTGTGGGTTCTTGGCCAGGAAGAAACTGATCAGACTCATCATTTTCAGCAACACCTGCATCATCAGTATTTTCCCCAATTTGGGATTCCTTTTCACACATGTCTACATTTTCATCATTTGCAGTACTTTCTGGGAGAGTAATTTCCCTCACCTCCTCTGGAGACTGCTCATCCTCTCTACTCTCAGGGATGCTTCTGAGCTCAGACCTGTGTACCTGTCGGAGGGGCCCCTCTTCACCTGCAGGAGCTATAGAATACACCACTCCTCGAGCTGGAGGTGGTCGGACAATTTGATACGGGGTTGGGTCCCAAAAATGCTGGATGTTGTTACGACCTGTGACTGAGTGATTCCTCGTGTACACAAGGTCCCCTTCCTCCAAATCTGGGGCAACTGCTGAGTCCCCACTTCTTGAATCTCGTTGAGCTATTTTGTTGTCCACTCTCCGCTGGACACTCTCATAGGCAGCAGCTGAAGACTTTTGGTGCTCCACTACCCACTCTTCCACAGGAAGGTCACCCTCTGTCCCACTCTCAAAAAGAAAATCTACAGGCAACTGCGGCTCTCACCCAAACATTAAAAAATATGGAGTCATGCCAGTTGTTTGATGGACCGTTGTATTATAGGCAAATGTGACTTGTGCAAGGTGGCGAGGCCACCTGCGTTTCTGTTTAGGCGGGAGAGTGCGCAACATATCATGTAAAGTGTGATTAAAGCGCTCACACTGACCATTACCTTGAGGGTGGTAGGGAGTGGTATGGCTCTTCTCGATTTTATACAACTTGCAGAGCTGCTGGACCAAATTACTTTCAAAATTTCTGCCTTGGTCTGAGTGGATACGGCTGGGAACACTGAAACCAATTCCTCACCAATACTTCTGCAACAGTGCTAGCTCGCTGGTCTTTATTAGGGACAGATTGTGTATATTTGGAAAAAACATCAGTCATTACGAGGACATTCTCCCTACCGTCTGTAGAGGGCTCGAGGACAGTGAAATCTATTGCCAGTATCTCATTGGGCCTAGACGCCTTAACTGTGCCCATGTAAGTTTTAACCTTCGGCCGCACAGCCTTTGACAACACACACCTTTCACACGTTTGACACTACTTCTCTACATCAGAGTACATTTTTGGCCAGTAGTAACGAGCACGCAATAACTGAAAAGTTCTTTCAATCCCCTGATGACCCTGTTCATCATGGAGAGAACGGAGGATTTTTTCTTGCAAACACTTGGCAATACACACTGCTCAGTTTCAGCCTGCCCCTCTAGAGTATAGATGCAGCGATAGAGCACGGACTCTCGCTCCCTGAGACGTCCCCACTGCTGAACCAACTCTCTGGTACCTTTGCTAAGTTCGAGTCACTCCTTGGCATCGGGCATTTCCCAGCACTTCAAAAAAGGGCCAATAGTAGGGTCTTGGTGTTGGAGTGTACAAAGATCAGAGTTTGACAACCCCGACAATGCCCTGATCTCCTCCTGCACTATTGTAACTCCTTCAACATCAGAGCGAACCTCAGACTCCCCAAGAGAAGCATATTGGCGGGACAATGCATCTGCTCTCTGCATCTGCATCTGGCTAGACAAAACTGCCAAACAACTCTCAGAATCTACAGAAACCTGAATCTGCGAATCAGACAAAACAGTAGCTGTTTGCACTGTAGCTATGACTCTACGAGGTGTTAGCCATACATCTGTGTTACCCACATTGGTAATAGGAACAAATGCATTTCCCCTTTCTGCCTTCACTAAGGAGGGAGAAACCAGCAGCCCCTCAGGTAGACTACCCTCCTCAGGACCCAGGGGCTCTACAAACAAGTCAATTAGCTGGTATGTGGGTATTTGTGGGGGCATGTTACTGGAACATAACATAAGCTGCCTGCAGGGACACAAAAAGGTTTCTTACCCTGCACTCTGATGGGATGTGGGTCTGGGGAGTTGGCCAGGACCTCCATCATCTGACAGTACCTCAGCGCCAGCCTCCATCCTCGTGGAGCTGACTTGACCACAGGCGCCTCCCACAGGTCAGGGCCATATCTCTTGCACAATTCAGTATAAAGAGGGTTAAAGACATTCATTCCCAACACCCCAGGAACATGAGTCTTTTTCTGCCTCATAAAGCTGTCAGCAGGCTCTTTGACTATCAGTACTCCCACACGAGGAAGTAAGACCCCCAGCACAGTAACATCAATCTCCATGTAACCAGGGTACGGAATTTTCAATCCATTTGCAGCCTTCAAACCCAACCAGCCACAGTCTTTCAGTTCTTTATCAGACAAATGTGAAAAATTACTTTTGAAAAAACTTTCAGTTAGAGTTGTAACCATGGAGCCACTATCCAAAAGGCAATTAACACTGACCCCTGCAAAACCCACCTCGCCCTCCAAGCACTCACCAACTAGATTAGATACATTTGACTTCACATGATCATCAATAGAGCCCTGCAAACACCCCACCAATGTTTGGCTCTGCACACTGGCGGGTTCTAGTTTCCCACCGGCTTTGGAGGTTGACTTCCATCTTTAGATTGGGTTGTGACAGTGCTTGGACAATTTCGAGCAATATGCCCACTTTGTTCTTCTATATTTACCAGAATTGGTCTCGATCACAAAATCCACAACAGGGCCCAGCAAACGTCCTGGCCACCCCACAGGAAACTGGCACTTCGCGGGCAAAACGACCAACTTCCTCTTTTATGGGCGAATGCCCTGGGGCAAGAGTGACACCGAGTGGTGTCACCCATTACATATATATTTATTTAAACAAAAGAAATATAACAATACCGGGATGAGGTGTGTTGGTCAGTATGATCAGTGGTGTCCACGTGAATGTGTGTAAGTGTGTGGTGCTGTAGTGATGTGGTGCTGCAAACAAAAGATAGAGACGCTGGCCGAGAAGTCGAACAGAGAGCAGAGCAGAGAGAGAGAGATGCTGATCAGCCACGCTTTTAACTCCGTCCATGCACCGGGCCCAGGTGCTCACGATCAGGTTAATTAAAAGGCTGGATCAGCTGATCACCTCGGAAGAAAACAGTGATATCGTCGGACACCCATCCACTTACCCAGACCAAGCGGCCAGCAGGGGCCGTAACAAGAGCCATGTTCAGATGTTTCTTTAGAGTAGAACAAATGTTTGTTATTGCTGGGCTGACAATTATTGTTATATTTCTTATAGGCTATAATGCCATCAAGCAGAAAATGATCAGATTTACAGGTTTATTTTTTCATTTTAAAGTAAAAATTTAGCGTAAATTTCTATAAATGTTTATGCACTGAGTGTGACACATGCTATAAAGTCACTCACAAGACCTATTCTCACCACTTAATTAATTAATTAATTAATTAATTAAACGCATGACTGCAAGATAAAGACTGATGTGGATTAAATTTTTCAGTTGCAAACATTAAATTTTGTGGGTTGGATTGACATAATACTGTTCAATCTATGTAATATATCGGGGGCGGCTGTGGCTCAGGTAGAGCGAGTCGGTCGACAATCGGAAGGTCGGCGGTTCGATTCCGCCCTGTAACCTGTTTCATGGTCGTTGTGTCCTTAGGCAAGACACGTCACCCACCTTGCGTATGAATGGATTGTTTGAGGTGGTGGTTGGAGGGGCTGTAGGCTCAGAATGGCAGCCACGCTTCTGTCAGTCTGCCCCAGGACAGCTGTGGCTACAATCGTAGCTACCACCACCAGAATGAATGTGTGTGAATGAATAATTGACAGTGTAAAAGCGACTTTGAGTGTCCAGAAAAGCGCTATATAAATCTGATCAATTATTATTATTATTATTATTATTATTATTATTATTATTATTATTATTATTATTATTATTATTATTATTATTATTAATATTGTGTGTAATTTTAACTGAAATTTCTGCATTAGTTGATCAAAGTAAATCCAAGTTGAGGTAACTTAATAAAATTGGCTTGATAACTTAATTTTTCTTCTCCTTGAGGCCAAGATTTCAAGCCCCCTGCACTATCTCAGCATGTCTGCACAAAAGACTAAACAGGCCAATTCCCTGAAATCAGTGTTGTGTGTTAGTTGTACCTAATTTTATAAGAAGTTGTCATGAATTGAAAAGAGTGCAAACTGTGGCATTAACCCTCCTTTTACCTTCAAATTCAGTGGCATCTTCTATCCTTGGGGTCAATTTGACCCCAGCAATATAAACCTCCAGAAAATAGCATTTTTAAAATTGTTACCCAAGTTTATGTGTAAATATCCCTTTAAATAAAACTGAAAAAAAAAAAAAAAGTTAAATATTGAATGGGGTCAAATTGATTATTTATTGTTCTTGTCGATCCCAAACCACATGACTTAGGGAGCAGTTAAACCTTGGAAATGGTCAAACCTGCAACGGGACTCTGGCATTGAAGCTTAACAAAATATTTAGTTAGTTTGGTGAGTTCACAACACAGAGCACGTACGCATGACAAAGCACGTCCTCTCTGATGATCTTATCTCTTCCGGTCCACATCATCACATGGAGACTATTTGCCTGTAGTCATTAAGGACAAAGAGGCTGCAGTTTGATGGAATTTAGAAGGAAAACTTCAAAAGAAGTGCCAGCAGCCACTTTAATCTCATTTAGTGCCACAACTTAATTACTATAATTATCCTTGATTGGCTTAAGAAAGACACACCTCTGTCCAAATGAATGGCTCCACAACAAGGATTGTAAAAACCAGCCATTCTCTTCTCAACACCAAACTGCTTCAGGTCACACAGAACAACACACACCTTCGTCCTCCATCCTTCTGACTCCAGCTTTACCCTCTACAGCAGATTAGGATTGTTGTCGCTGTTGGCTGTTAGCTTCTAGTCTGTCATGGTGGTTCGGAGGGTGGCAGTGATCGGTGCAGGACCCTCAGGTCTGACCAGCACCAAAGCGTGCCTGGAAGAAGGTCTGGAGCCCACGTGCTTCGAGAGCAGCCATGACATTGGAGGTCTGTGGAAATTCAAGGTGAGGGGCATGAATACTTGTATATGATACTATAAGCACACATTTCCACTTCACCTAAATGCTACTCATAGATAAACCTCACTTACTGTCTGATATTTGAAGTGTACAAAGGCTAAGCTGTGCAGCCATAATGAATGATCACATGTCCCTGTAGCTTTTTTTTTTTTTGCCAAGCTTGCACCATATTCAAAGTGCTAAGTATTTGTTGAAGTGTTGAGGTTTACTTACATTTCCAACTGTCAAAATAGTAACTTTATTGATATAGCACTTGGGTTTACAAAGTGCTTTGATGGACAAAACAAAAGCAGGACACACAAAAGGCAAAATAACCAGAACAGTGAGGCCACACAATTAAAAAAACTAAACAAAAAAAGAGGCAAAAATGCAAATCTCATTGTAAATAAAACAAATAAAGCAATAAACACCTTTAATCAGCAACAAAAAGATAACATCATGTAAAAGCAAGTCTATAAAATCATGGGTTTTATGAACTGGTTTGAAAGATGTTGCATGCCTTATCTCATCAGGCAAAGTTCAGACGAGGTGCCTTTAGATTTAGGTTTTCAGTTACAGCTAGAGGGACTAAACCAGGGGTGTCGACATCCGGTCCTCGAGGGCCGCAATCCTGCATGTTTTAGATGTTTCCTTCTTCCAACACACCTGATTCAAATGATCAGGATCGTTATCAGGCTTCTGCAGAGCTTGATGATGACCTGATCATTTGAATCAGGTGTGTTGGAAGAGGGAAACATCTAAAACATGCAGGATTGCGGCCCTCGAGGACCAGGATTGGAGACCTCTGGACTAAACCTAAGGATGCATGCTGGTTCATGTGGGCTCAACATTTTTACTATGTAGCGTAAAACGTATGTATAAATTATGGAATAGTGTAACATTAAAAAATGTAAAAATAACAGCAAATATCTATAAAAATAAAGATAGTTTTATTATTTTTATTTACAGTATTGGTATTGATGTAGCTGTTAATTACACTTTTGGCCTGATATTTTTTAACGGCTAAGACCTGAGCTCTTGTTTGATATGCATTTTTTTTAGTTCTCTTTGCTATTTGATGTGATCAAATAGCAAAGAGAACACAAAATTAATATATATATATATATATATATATATATATTTCAAAAATATTTAAAAATATAATAAAAATGTATCTTTAAAAAATATTTAAGAAACAAAAAAATATATAAAAATAAATCAATAAAAAATAAATAACAATCATAAAATAATAATGATACAATATTTTTTAAAAATATATCAATAAAAATGAACTATTCTGGTAATATAACCCAAAATGTGATGTCTACGCATGTGGATGCCAGGTCTTAAGGGATTAAAGTTAACAAGTTAACAATTTAACAAAACAGAGAAATCTCTTAAATAACAATAAATTGCCTAAAAAAAGTAATGGTTAGAAACATTACAGGTACAGTTACAGAGTGATCAGCAAAGTGTTAAGATGAACATGAAGCCAGAATTTGGGTGATGTGATATCATCTGCCAAAGCCGACAACAAATATGAACCATTTCAGAGAAGAAGAAGAAAAACAGAAAACCCAATATAGCATTGAACATACTAAATAATTAATTCTGTACTTTGTAATGTGTAGTTGGAGCCACACTGAAGCAGCAAAAAACTTTAACCTTGTGTTATAAAAGACGTCTGTAGTTTGGGATGTGTAACGACAGATCTATCATCTATCAAACCATTTTTTTATTTACTGACACTGTGTTATCATATACGGATCATATTTAGATTTCAGGTGAAGCTGTCATGTTGAATATGTGTTTATCATTAGCTGTCGTCATGTTTTGCTTCTTCAGGAGAAGCCAGAGCCTGGACGGGCCAACATCTATCAGTCAGTGGTTATCAACAGTTCCAAAGAGGTGATGTCCTTCAGTGACTTCCCGCCTCCCGCTGAGCTGCCCAACAACATGCATCACTCTGAGATCATGATTTATCTGCGTCTCTACGCTCAGGAATTCAATCTAATGCAGCACATACACCTGCAGGTTAGTGAGATTCAGGTTTGTTCCTGAAGGGAATGCGCTATGGTACAGTACCTGTAAAAAGTATTTATTCCCTTTAGAAGTTTTCTTTCATCACTTCTCACTGTTGAATCATGGTCAATATATTTTAGTTTTTTGGACAAAAATTTACTAAGAAAGACTCTTTCATGTCAAAGTCAAAAGAGAATTCTACAAATACTGTAACTTTCTTAGAAATACAAAGTGTACAATAAGTTATTGTACTGCATACAGTGTTAATGTTTTCAAGAAAAGATTTTAATCTAATGTTCAAAGAACATTTTAAGGATTGATTGTTTCAAATAAGGTTTCGATAAGATTGAAAGTGAGCTAAGATACAATGTTTTAGCTGCAATATTCAGAGGATGTTTGGCCATAACAAAGGAAGAACATTCTCAAACCAACTTTCTGAAAACGTTTAAGATGTTATCGAGGCCTCAGACTATAGAATGTTTTTATCAAATGCTCCTGCCATGTAAATGATTAACAAAGACAGAATATTTTGTCTGAAATGAGGATGTTTTGGAACGTGTTACGACCTGGCTCAAGACGGCCGCAACAAAAAGAGAGACACACCAAGTTTCAAAACCAAACCAATATGGGGCTGTGAGAATACATAGAGTCAGTGGTGTGTGTGAGTGATGTATGCATGAATTATGTCTGTGCAAGTGTTGTAAATGCGAATGTCCTAAACAAAGACAACTAAGCCATGACCAGACCAATGCAATACCTGCGGAGGGAAGCAGAGTAGAGAGAGATTAGACTACAGTCAGCCCTTAAGTAACCCAGGAACACACTGGGTGTCACAGGTGCTCCTGATTACCTCAAACAGCCACTCACAAAACCAGTAGCCGAACTAGAACCACCCACAAGATACAAGATGACCTCAGGGGTCATCACAAACGTTGTTGAGGTAATGCATCATAGAGCATTCCCACAAAGTTCTACAATGTTGTATGACAACAAAGAAATAAGATTTACAATGAGACATTTGGAAAATACTTGAAGACATTAGGACATAATGATCTAGCAGTGTTTAGGACTTTCAGACCATCTTTAGTCAGCCTAACGTGCCTATATGAAGAACTTTCCAGAAACTTAAACATAACTTTCACAACATCACGAGAACTTTGCAGAATTATCTCAGAATGTTTTTGGAACAGCAAAAGAGATTTCGCTGGATTAACACTGACGGATATTCACCTCTATTTGTTTGTCAGACTGCTGTGGTCAGTGTGAGGCAGACACCAGATTTTGCAGGGACCGGCCAGTGGGAGGTGGAGACCGAGAAGACAGAAGGTCAGAGGGAGACGCATGTTTTCGATGCAGTGATAGTTTGCACCGGACATTTCACCCAGCCTCACCTGCCGCTCAAGGACTTCCCAGGTAAAATGAAGAGACATTCACTCTGCATTAGGGATGCAAAAATATTTAAATGATGAAGATTCTCTACGTGCAACCTACTGTAATTTATTTTTTGTTGCATCTCAGGTATTGAGAGCTTCCAAGGCCGATATTTCCACAGCTGGGAATACCGCAGTACTGCGGGCCTGGAGGGGAAGAGAGTGGTGGTGATTGGGATGGGGAACTCTGGAGCTGATATTGCAGTTGACATCAGCAGAGTTGCTGAGAGGGTAACTGGCCAAACTACACTTCTGCACTTCTGTCTTTTTCAGCGACAACAAAATAACCCAGCTGTTTGGTATTAACAAAATGCAAAGCTAAAAATGATAAAAGGTGAGCTCATGACTCTGAAACCTCTCTGACCTGACCCGACCTGCAGGTGTACCTCAGCACCAGGAGTGGAGCGTGGGTTGTCAGCCGTGTCGCACTGAGGGGGCTCCCAATTGACATTTATTTTTCTCGATTGGACACTCTGATACGATCGCTGTTCCCCTCATGGACCAATAGGATGCTGGAGAAGAAGCTGAACGAGCCGTTTGACCACAAATTATACGGCATTCAACCAAAGCATGGGTAACGCATCATATTTCACATAAGCATGTTTATTTTATTGTAGTTTCTTTGGTTGTGACTCAACATGTGCATCCCATATGAAACAGCATGTCTTTGTTGTCTGCGCAAGGATCAAAATTTGAAGTTTTGTCCTCCAGATGGCGTCAGATGAAAGCTTAGAGGCGTTCATAATTCTGATCATCCTTCAGTAAAAATGGCGGATGAAAAGTAAAAAACACAACACGAGTCATGCAGAAACTGTTCCTTTTGTGCATGTATGCAGACTCTTTATTTGTTTTAGGGATTTTGTTTTAGTCCTAAAAACCCACAGTTTCATTACATACAGTTTATCATGCCAATAAAACATTTGGCAGGTTCGACTGCAGGTTTTAGTGTCTGTCTCTAAGTGTAGCCCTGTGATAGACTGGCGACCTGCCCAGGGTGTCTCAGCTGGGATAGGCTCTGCAGGTTTTAAATTAAATAAATTATTTACCAAAAAAAAACCCAAAAGAGTTTGACCCAGAAATGGGCTAGATTAATAATTAGCCATGTTTTTATCTGGTTTCATGTGAACCAAAGGGAACGACTTTAATCCCCTACTGTGAAAATCAACCTAATGCTGTTGTCTCTGAGACGCTCCTTTTACACTGTAAACAAAAGGGTATTTTTGACTCGGCAGATTTTTGCATATTTCCAGAGCAGCTATAATGAATCTATGAAAGACAAAGATGTGACAAAGATGCATTTGTTTCAATGATTCCATCACAGAAAATTAAGAGTTACAGGAGTCATTGAAAACTCATGACTGCAATGATATACATGATTTTTACAAGTGGAAGTAAGCTTTTGTTCACCACTGTACATCCTTGTTGTTCTCTGTGCAGCTTTTTTGTGCAGATTCCTGTAGTCAATGACGACTTGCCATCTCGGATCCTCTCAGGTCGTGTTCAAGTGAAACCCAACGTGAAAGAGTTCTCTGGGTCCAGCGTGGTCTTTACTGATGGGAGCATCATAGACAAGGTGTTTATTAGTGCATTTCTTGGCTGTGGATCAACTTATAAGTTCAATTCACATCATAAAATGTGTGATAGATCAGCATTTATTGTTGGACTGTCCCATTTGTTTGTTTAGTTATAAAACTGACGCAATCAAAGGCCAGTTAACTGCCCAGAGTTGTTTAATCACTGACAAGTGTGTGCACTGTTAAACCTCACAGAGGAAAGGAGTCAAATCAGCTCATCTTCTCTAGTTTATTTAATGTAAATTTAATGAGTTTTGCTAATTTCTTGTTAATTTAACCTAAAATGTCAAATACTTATTTTCAGACCACTTTAGAACTAACAGATTAGTTCTTTATAGCTTGAAGCATTTTGACCTAAATTAATAAGTTGAATGAACAGTTGAGAGTTCAGTCAACTCATTACTTTAAGTTTATAAGAAACAAAACTGGCATAGAAGCAGACTTACCAGGATGCATTGCTAGAAAGCTAAAACTCTGTTGTTCGAGAGAAAGCAGACCTGGTGGAAACTTGCAGTGCATCTCTTTTTTTTATAATCATCAAAATGATTCCTTAGACAGGTAGACTTACAATTTATCTCACTGTAGCTAGAAAAAGCACAAATTGTTTTTGCACCAAGTCTAGTCAAAAATGAAACTTAGAACATGTAAAAGGAAATTTGTAACTAGTTGGCTCAACTTAACATCTTAAGTTTATTGAACTTGTTAATATAACTCAGCCAGTTTCACACTTTCACGGCTCATGAGACGACTTTGAACTCATTAATTCACCAAAGTGCAGTTAACTCACATTGTTAAGTT